TATTCCTTGTTCACATAAATTTGCCTTTTATTTATTTCTTATTATTCCTAAAAGTGTTTTCCTCCGTCCTTATGATCTTTCTTCTTTCTTTCTATTAATAAATCAAATCTGCCTCACTGTCAATCTATTTCCTATCGATTTTAACTTGCTTTCAGTATTTTGTCTGTTCAGTATTTGTTGTTTGCGCCAAATTTATTTTACTGAACGTTCTCATCAACCTACTTTTTCTTTCCCGTCATGCAACAGTTTATTGACCATTTCCTGCTTCCACCCTAATATTTACACTCAGTTCGACTCACTAGATTGAAGTTCATTAAATTCATTTTTACATTTGTTTTTATTCGATTACTTTTCTTTCATTGTTATGTCGGTGTACAAGATTCAGTTTTTAATTCTTTTGTCATTGTTTCTTTATATGGTAAACATTTTTAGGTCGTTTCTATCTTTAGGAAAAGCTTCTTTTCTTGCTGTTATCCCTTGACTTGTGTTTTGTTTTTTCTTTAAGTGATATTCGTTTTTTTGTTATTCGCTTCTTTCTTTCATTTCTATTATAATTATGTTTCCTTTCTCATTTTTATATATTTTCGTATATTAGATTAATACTTTGCTGATTATTTTGTCTTCCGAATTGTTTGTTATTTTTTGATATTGTTTATTCAGATTTATATGTGTTGTCTAATTTTTCATTTATCTATATTCATTTTGATTCGTTCAGATTTTATTTGTCACTTCATTTATTTATGCATTTACTCATATTCCGTCGGTTTTGTATATCAAACTTTCTTTTAAACGATTACTTTTCCATTTTCGCTTGTTCTTTATTTCTTCCTTTCTTTATTTCACCCTTTTCCACTCTTGGTGATATAATTATTGGCTTTATTTTTCATGACAGATATTTTTATTTCTACAAGCATTTTAAAATTTATTTCTCAAATAGCTCGATAGAGAGAGATAGATAGATACTGAGAAGACTGAGATCAATAAGAACAGGCTTAGATAGATAGATAGATAGATAGATAGATAGATAGATAGATAGATAGATAGATAGATAGATAGATAGATACTGAACAGACTGAGATCAATATGAACTTGGCTTAGATAGATAGATAGATAGATAGATACTGAACAGACTGAGATCAATATGAACTTGGCTTAGATAGATAGATAGATAGATAGATAGATACTGAACAGACTGAGATCAATATAAACTTGGCTTAGATAGATAGATAGATAGATAGATAGATAGATAGATACTGAATAGACTGATATCAGTATCAACAGGCTTAGATAGATAGATAGATACTGAACAGAGTGAGATCAATATGAACAGGCTTAGATAGATAGATAGATAGATAGATAGATAGATAGATATATAGATAGATACTGAACAGAGTGAGATCAATATGAACAGGCTTAGATAGATAGATAGATAGATAGATAGATAGATAGATAGATACTGAACAGACTGAGATCAATATGAACAGGCTTAGATAGATAGATAGATAGATAGATAGATAGATAGATAGATAGATAGATACTGAACAGACTGAGATCAATATGAACAGGCTTAGATAGATAGATAGATAGATAGATAGATAGATAGATAGATACTGAACAGACTGAGATCAATATGAACAGGCTTACATAGATAGATAGATAGATAGATAGATAGATAGATAGATAGATACATACATACTTAAGAGACTGAAAACAATATCAACAGGTATAGATAGATAGATAGATAGATAGATACTGAACAGACTGAGATCAATATGAACAGGCTTAGATAGATAGATAGATAGATAGATAGATACTGAACAAACTGAGATCAATATGAACAGGCTTAGACAGATAGATAGATAGATAGATAGATAGATAGATAGATAGATAGATAGATACATATATACATACTTAGGAGACTGAAAACAATATCAACAGGTACAGATAGATAGATAGATAGATAGATAGATAGATAGATAGATAGATAGATAGATAGATAGATAGATAATGAGCAGACTGAGATCAATATGAACAGGCTTAGATAGATAGATAGATAGATAGATAGATAGATAGATAGATAGATAGATAGATACATACATACTTAAGAGACTGAAAACAATATCAACAGGTACAGATAGATAGATAGATAGATAGATAGATAGATAGATAGATAGATAATGAGCAGACTGAGATCAATATGAACAGGCTTAGATAGATAGATAGATAGATAGATAGATAGATAGATAGATAGATAGATACTTAAGAGACTGAAAACAATATGAACAGGTACAGATAGATAGATAGATAGATAGATAGATAGATAGATAGATAGATAGATACTGAACAAACTGAGATCAATATGAACAGGCTTAGATAGATAGATAGATAGATAGATAGATAGATAGATAGATAGATAGATAGATAGATACTTAAGAGACTGAAAACAATATCAACAGGTATAGATAGATAGATAGATAGATAGATAATGAGCAGACCGAGATCAATATGAACAGGCTGAGATAGATAGATAGATAGATAGATAATGAGCAGACCGAGATCAATATGAACAGGCTGAGATAGATAGATAGATAGATAGATAGATAGATAGATAGATAGATAGATAGATAGATAGATACTTAAGAGACTGAAAACTATATCAACAGGTATAGATAGATAGATAGATAGATAGATAGATAGATAGATAGATAGATAGATAATGAGCAGACTGAGATGAATATGAACAGGCTTAGATAGATAGATAGATAGATAGATAGATAGATAGATAGATAGATAGATAGATAGATACTGAACAAACTGAGATCAATATGAACAGGCTTAGACAGATAGATAGATAGATAGATAGATAGATAGATAGATAGATAGATACATATATACATACTTAAGAGACTGAAAACAATATCAACAGGTACAGATAGATAGATAGATAGATAGATAGATAGATAGATAGATAGATAATGAGCAGACTGAGATCAATATGAACAGGCTTAGATAGATAGATAGATAGATAGATAGATAGATAGATAGATAGATAGATAGATAGATACATACATACTTAAGAGACTGAAAACAATATCAACAGGTACAGATAGATAGATAGATAGATAGATAGATAGATAGATAGATAGATAGATAGATAGATAATGAGCAGACTGAGATCAGGTGAACAGGCTTAGATAGATAGATAATAGATAGATAGATAGATAGATAGATAGATAGATAGATAGATAGATAGATACATACTTAAGAGACTGAAAACAATATCAACAGGTACAGATAGATAGATAGATAGATAGATAGATAGATAGATACTTAAGAGACTGAAAACAATATCAACAGGGATAGATAGATAGATAGATAGATAGATAGATAGATAGATAGATAATGAGCAGACCGAGATCAATATGGACAGGCTGAGATAGATAGATAGATAGATAGATAGATAATGAGCAGACCGAGATCAATATGAACAGGCTGAGATAGATAGATAGATAGATAGATAGATAGATAGATAGATAGATAGATACTTAAGAGACTGAAAACTATATCAACAGGTACAGATAGATAGATAGATAGATAGATAGATAGATAGATAGATAGATAGATAGATAGATAGATAGATAGATAATGAGCAAACTGAGATCAATATGAACAGGCTTAGATAGATAGATAGATAGATAGATAAATAGATAGATAGATAGATACTTAAGAGACTGAAAACAATATCAACAGGTACAGATAGATAGATAGATAGATAGATAGATAGATAGATAGATAGATAGATAATGAGCAGACTGAGATCAATTGTGAACAGGCTTAGATAGATAGATAGATAGATAGATACATACATACATACATACATACTTAAGAGACTGAAAACAATATCAACAGGTATAGATAGCTAGATAGATAGATAGATAGATAGATAGATAGATAGATAGATAGATAGATAGATAATGAGCAGACTGAGATCAATATGAACAGGCATAGATAGATAGATAGATAGATAGATAGATACATACATACATACATACATACATACTTAAAAGCGACTGAAAAACAATATCAACAGGTACAGATAGATAGATAGATAGATAGATAGATAGATAGATAGATAGATAGATAGATAGATAGATGGATAATGGGCAGACTGAGATCAATATGAACAGGCTTAGATAGATAGATAGATAGATAGATAGATAGATAGATAGATAGGTAGATAGATAGATAGATAGATACTTAAGAGACTGAAAACAATATGAACAGGTACAGATAGATAGATAGATAGATAGATAGATAGATAGATAGATAGATAGATAGATAGATAGATAGATGAGATAGATTAGATAGATAGATAGATAGATAGATAAGATAGATAGATAGATAGATAGATAGATAGATGATAGATACAGGACTTAGATAGATAGATAGATAGATAGATAGATAGATAGATAGATAGATAGATAGATAGATAGGTAGATAGATAGATAGATAGATACTTAAAGAGACTGAAAAACAATATGAACAGGTACAGATAGATAGATAGATAGATAGATAGATAGATAGAACAAACTGAGATCAATATGTATAGATAGATAGATAGATAGATAGATAATGAATGGATAGATAGATAGATAGATGCCTAAGAGACTGAAAACAATATCAACAGGTATAGATAGATAGATAGATAGATAGATAGATAGATAGATAGATAGATAGATAGATAGATAATGAGCAGACCGAGATCAATATGAACAGGCTGAGATAGATAGATAGATAGATAGATAGATAGATAGATAGATAATGAGCAGACCGAGATCAATATGAACAGGCTGAGATAGATAGATAGATAGATAGATAGATAGATACATACATACATACATACATACTTAAGAGACTGAAAACAATATCAACAGGTATAGATAGATAGATAGATAGATAATGAGCAGACTGAGATTCATATTCTTTCATTGTTTACTAGTATGCATTCATTCATTCATTCTTCATTTATACTTTCTTTTTTCTCATTTTTAAATTTTCTTGATTTATTTACAACTGGCTATTTCATTTTCTTTTTCTTTCTTTATTTTATTTTATATCATTCCATCATTTTCTTTTCTTCTTTCTTTTACATTTATTGGTTTATATATGTCTGGATACTTCCTTTTGTTTTTCCCATATTCCTAAATTTATGTTCTTTCTTTCTTTCTTTTGAATCCACTCGTAATAATATATTAATGTTTTTTTCCTCATTTTCATTCATTTTTCTCGCATTTACTTATTTACTATCTGTGGTTGTTTAGTTTGTTTGTCTCTTTCTTTCTTTCTTTCTTTCTTTCTTTCTTTCTTTCGTGCTTGCTTTATTTATTTCTTTATTTCATTGTTTCTTTCTTTTTTTCTTTCTTTTTTTTCTTTCTTTCTTTCTTTCTTTCTTTCTTTCTTTCTTATCCACTCGTAATGATATATTTATTTTTGTTTCCGTTTATTTTTCCAGCATTCTTTTATTTACATACTTTGCTTGTTTTATTAATGTGTTTTTCTTTGCTCTTTGTTTGTTTGTTTGTTTCTTTCTTTCTTTCTTATTTATTCATTTATTTCCGACTCTTCTTAAAGTCTGCTGGTTTATTTATTTATGTTTTTTTTATTTTATTTTATATATATATATATATATATATATATATATATATATATATATATATATATATATATATATTTTAAATTTTTCTACATTGTTTACCACATTGGTTTATATATTTTAGTTTTATTTCATCCGAATTTCTGTGAAAATTTCTCGGACATTCAAGCCGGCAAATGTTGCTTAATACTGTTTATTATAAACAGAGCATTTACTTAAATATTTCTATCTATAAAACGAATGTATAACATAAAAATGTCCTAAAATAATTGTCGGATTTGTCCATTTCATAATATATATATATATATATATATATATATATATATAATGTAGGTGTGTGTGTATATCTTTCTTTCTGTCTTTCTTTCTTTCTTCCTTTCTTTCTTTCTTTCCCAACATTCATTGATTTATTTCATTTATGTCCTTCGTTTCCTTTAGTAGTCTGTCTTTTTCTTTTATTCTTTTTTCCCTTTTTTCTATACATCCTTCCTTTTCAACGCTTGTGGTTTTATATCTTTATACTTTAAATTCATTGATCGCATTTTTTCGTTTCCTTACTTTCTTTTAATAAGTCATTATTTCTTATATTTGTATATTATTTGTTTGTTGTTTTTTTTTTCTTGCACTCCTTTTCTTTCTCTTATTGATTTGTTTTGTTTTCATCGTTTTATTTTACTTTTCCCTAATATTTCTTTCTTTCTTTCTTTTTTTTTTCTTCCTTTCTTTCTTTCTTATCCATTCGTAACGGGATATTTATTTGTGCTCTCCCCGCATTTATTTAATTACATGATTTGCTTCTTTCTTATTTCTTTTGTTTGTCTCTTTTTTGTGTTTTTTTTTTTTTACATTTATTGGTTTATCTATGTCTGGAACTTCCCTTTTGTTTTATCATAATCCTACAATTATTTTCGTTCTTTCTTTCTTTCTTTCTTTCTTTCTTTCCTTCTTTCTTTCTTTCTTTAATTTTTTTTCTGACTGTCTTTCTATCTTTCTGTCTTTCTTTGATTTTCTTTCTTTCTTTCTTTCTTTCTTTCTTTCTTTCTTTCTTTCTTTCTTTCTTCGTAATATATATTTCGTTAGCTTCTAACTTCGCTTTGTTTTTCTTTCTCTTTTCCTTTTCTTTCTTTTTATTTATTTATCAACGCTTATTGATATATATATATATATATATATATATATATATATATATATATCTTTTCACGATTCTCAGTATTTCTTTATATTTTCTTTTATTTATTTATTTGCTTCTGTTTATTCCCTACAGCTCTTTCATTTATTTCCCGTCAGTCTTTCCTTCTTCATTTTTATTACCTTCCTTCTTTCATTCCATCTTTATTCATTTCATACGTTTAACTCTTTATTTACTTTACTTCAGATTACTTTTCTTTTACATTCTTCTTTATTTTCATGCATTTCGCAACGTGTTTATTTTTATTTTGTTCCACTGTTGTATTTATTTAAGTCAAAGCGATTTTTTCCCTTGGTTTTTCCATGCTTCCCCTCTTGTAAAATTCTAATGCTTTTAGAATAAGAAACGCCGTTCATAAAAACAAAGTTTATTTACTAGACTTGACATGTTTCAAAAATGTGCCTCTAATGCTCACGCAGACATACACTCACGCAATGGTTGAAAATATGTTAAAGACTGCACAAATGGCACGCCGTCAACAAATATTAACAATAAGAAGCAAAAGTCATTTATGCGCACACTCACCGAAAATGACAGAAGGAAACTTAAGAAGATTTGTCTTAAAATTTCTAATATGACACAGGGCGTCATAAATGTTTTAAAGGGCACGAAATGACTCAGTCAAAAAGCATACATCGCATTATATATCTATATATCTATATATTTATATATATATATATATATATATATATATATATATATATATATATATAGATAGATAGATAGATAGATAGATAATATTAGTGGTAAATATACATACGTATGCAAAATATATAAATACCCATACATGTATATTTTAGTGTTTAAGTTTTTTACTATATATATATATATATATATATATATATATATATATATATTATACATACTTAAAATATATGTATTTTCTCTGTGAATATATATATATGTATGTATATTGATATATATATATATATACATATATATGTGTGTGTGTATGTATATATATATATATATATATATATATATATATATATATATATATATATATATATATATGCATACATACTTAAAATATATATGTATTTTCTGTGTGTATATAATATATTTATATATATATATATACGTGTGTATATATTTTATATATACACACACACACATATATATCACATATATATATATAGATATATATATATATATATATATATATATATATATATATATATATATATATATATATATATATATGCGAGATATATTGATGGAATGTGACTGTGTGAAAATTACATTCTCTTCGCATTGACCCTTTTTGCAGATTCATTCCGATAGGATAGATTTATTACTTTTTAAACACTAGGTTCGTGCTCTCTTGAAATCCGCCAAATTTTGTGTACGCCCCACGCTATACGTATACACGCACGTAAACTCATGGAGAGTGAAGATTTTGTTACTACATATATATATATATATATATATATATATATATATATATATATATATATATATATATATATAAGGTGATTGAAAAGGAACTTCCTATTTTATGTATGAGTGGCCATACAGGATTTCTGTTTTAAGTGTCTGTGATTATTTTCTTTGCTTATGTTTAACGTAGCATGTCTACGATACTAAACCAAAGAGTTTGGAAGAACATGAAGGGCGAATACAAGACGTTATGGCTTTCATCTGCTTCTGTTTCCCATATCAAACTTTAAATAATAGCCCATGGTAAAATCTTTCTTCTCATATACATTTGTTGGAAACTTTATAGGTAATAAATAACTTATAAGCATTTAAAATAAGGAGGTACTTTTCAATTCCCCTGTAGATATATAGATAGATTGATAGATAGATAGATTTTGGAGTATGGCCACGTATTGCAAGCCTCAGAAGGAGAAAACCGGAAAATCTAGCGATAATTTCCGTTACGTACGCTACCTTGCCTTTTGCACGCTTAGTCTTGGGAAATGTATAAATATCTAATAAGACAGATTGTTTTCTCCTGTCATCCTTGTCCATCAGTTGAATTCCTAGCCATATGTACACCTGGTGACATATAACATCACCATCATTATCTTCTTCTCCTTTTCTCCTTCTCCCCCCCTCCTTTCTCTTTTTCTTCCTCAACCATCTTACTTATCGTCCTTCTTCTCAACTTTTTACTCCCCCTTCTCCTCCTCCTCCTCCTCATCCTTCTTCTTCTTCTTCTTCTTCTTGGTGGAAAACCGGAAAAATATTCAAAAGTATTCATTTATGCTATCTATGTCAATTAATTCTACCGGATTCAATCTTACCCAATCTTCAGTCTAAATTCGATCTCCTCCAAATTGAAAGTTTGCCTTGATCATGACTAATGGCTGTGGCTTCCATCGGTAGATAACGTCAACCTGGCCGTTGACTTCTGTCTATAAAACCTTATCGATAGCGATACCAATATAAGGCCAGTTGTTAACTAACATGAGCAGATTTAGATTGATGTCAGTTGAAAATAATTGTACTTACAATTTCACGGTTGAAAGCCGAACATAATCGTAAATCTAGAGATGACGTCATAGTTCGGTACACATTTATTTTGTAATTCTTACATTACATTCGACCTATCTAGGACTTCGTTAACAAAAATATCCATGAACAAACTGGATTATATTGTATTGTTTACTTGCAATCTACTTCGACAATATTTTCTTCTTGGTTGGATCGAACCCCAGGCAACAGTTAGAGCACAAAAATTTATAGATTCCTGTCTGTTTCCTGCTTGTTGGACAGAGAATATGTTGTGCTGAATAAATTTTGTAATCTTTCACAAAATGGCGTAAAACAAACTGTCATTTCATACTTTTAAATTTTTTCCGTCCTAAATATCAACCTGGGCATTTGGGTATTCGTTGATTTAGAACAGGTTTCGGGAAACGATTTCTTACTTGTGGCAGCGGATCGACGAATAGAGACTCTAAAAGTAGCAATTGAATGGTATATTCAGTTTGGAAGCCATATTGTTTCAAATATTTGGGCTGTTCATGTTGGACTCTTAGAGATCTACCATGAGATATACTCTCATGACTTTGTTATTCATAAAGAGAATTCTGTGGATCATGTGGTACAAGAATTGTCCTGTGTTTTCAGCATTTATTCAGCATTTATTTCTTGCATCGACCATCATTCACAGTTGTAATAAGGTCCGTAATAAACGTGCAGTATGCCATGGGTAATTTGTCGCCATTTTATATTTTAAATTTCCCACAAGCACTTTGTTTTTGATTTTGTCGACTTCACAGTATAATAGGCGAAGTTGGGAACCGTTTGTGAGAAATAAACAGCACTATGAGGCAATTCTCTCTGCCAGATGTTTGGAAACAACATGTTATCCTGCTTGGAAATGAACAAATCTCCAAAACAAACATTTCAGAATATTTGTCTGTCAATATTAGGAAAGCGCAGAGGTTTCGGAAAGAGAAGGATAAATCTAATGGTGATTACGAAGGTACAGCTGTTCGGTAAACTCACTCTGATAGTTCTGATTAGAAAAGAACACCCGAATATTTGGTGAGGCTCTTAGACACTGCAGGGAGGGCTACATCAATTACCTTGAAGAATTAGTGCTGTCTTGGGCCAAGATGGTGGCAGCTGAAAGGAATTTTGTCTAGCATCAGGACTCTGCACCATGTCACACAAACAGAAAAAAACCCAGTCATGTCAGTTAGACAATTTCGACGGCCACATTATTTTAAAATCTAGCCACCTACCTCTCAGACTGCCAGCCGTTTTCTTATTCTCTACAGGGCGCAGATAAGCGAGAGACCAATAATATTCCTTCTAACACTAAAGATAAACTGAATGCAAGGATTTACCAACTTAAACAAGGAGACCGTCCAGAATAGTTTCAGGAGATACGGTAGTTAATATATCTGTTAAAATTAGATGTCAATGCTATTTTAATTTTTGCGTAATTTAGACGCACCCTGTATATAGATTGAACTAATCGATTTTACGTCGTTCAGGAAATAGTTTATTTTACGCCACATTAGTGTAGGATTGCCACAATTTAAACATCGGATAAGCTTCACTAAAGTTAGTTCGTAAAATATTGAACAAGAAATATCGGTAATCTTAAGCAATGTTTGAAAATATACAAAACATTAATCTACAAAGCACGACTAATGTTCTTAAATTACGTTTTCAGAACGAGATTTGCGTATGTATGTCATGCATGGCATCAGAATAATTCGGAAATAAATAAAACCTTTTCGGACATTCAGGCCCGGAAATGTTATTAATACTAATTATTATAAAACAGAGCATTTACTTAAATGTTTGTATCTATAAAAAGAATGTATAAACATAAAAATGTCTTAAAATAATTGTTGTATTTTTGTCCATTTCATATATATATATATATATATATATATATATATATATATATATATATATAAATATATATATATATATATATATATATATATATATATATATGTATATATATATATGTATATATATATATATATATATATATATATATATGTATGTATATATATATGTATGTATATATGTATATATATATATGTATATATATATATATATATATATATATGTATATATTTATA